AATCCAGCCAAACCGGCAAGAATGCTAAATGTAATAATCAATGTTTCGGCCAAAGGAGATAATTTTCTAGTACTATCTATCAAACCAACACTATGGTGCGCATTATCGCGTTGTAGAAATAGTAACGATCCGGACAATAGCGAGCGTATTAATGTAGATTTGGTGAATTGTTTCTTAACAGTTAGAGGGTAGCATATACTGTAGATACATTTTATGTCCCATCTCGCAAAATACGTTTATAATCTATAAACCAGGAGTTGATAAACCTGGATAGTTTAGCTTATTCTATGTATTAATGCAGTAATGAGTAATGTATTAAAAATGTAACCTTTGTATCACCTTATATACATGGAAATTAAGTTCACTGATACTCAAAAACATTCCAAACTTTAATTTGTGCATATAATACCGATACCGATTTATAGACAACTTTTATTACTAAGAAAATATATTTAATGCATTAAGTACGTAAGTAGCTTAGTGTTTGTTTCAATTGCCTTTGGTACATAATATGGTTAATTTATATTAAAGTAGTGCATTGACTAGAATCCCAAGGGTAATTAATATCCGGGTATTTTTTGCAATGGTATTAATTCATCTTAGAATGGAGATACTCACAGGCAGTGAGTAATATTGTAATTTTTGATGGTCCAATCCTGGCAATGTTTCATCAATTTTCTGCACAAATGTCCAAGCATTTCCGAACTTCTATAATTAATTTCTTTAAAAAAATTAGAATCGATTATCAAATAATTTTTAATTATTATTTTTTTTTTTCAAAATGTCCGGGATATCCGATGATAAACTGCTCACAGGTATTTTATTCGGGCTTTTTAGTCAGCGCACAAACAGTAATACATAAGATAGGATTCTTTTGCACACATAACAAGTCATTCTTTAACGTAATTTTAGATACCCGAGTGATTTAATTGAATTACCCAATCAGAAAAAAGCTAGTCTGTATAGACGATCATGCTCTGAATTTAGATTAAGCATTATTAGATTAAATATAAATTGACTAAATAAGTTAAATTGAAATAACTTTTAGTCTCCGGCGTAACTTGTAATATTTGTAATGGCAAGGTACTACTCTGTATCCCTGATATATCGACCATGCCGATGCTGCAAAAGGTTATGTTTGTCACACATATGTGATGAATTTAGACATAGTAATTTATCTCATGAGAATAATCGTATCGGTGTGTACGCGATTTAAAAAAGGGGTACTACAATTATATAAAGAGTCCATAATGCTATCAGGAAAAAATTACTGCTTTGCCCAAAGTGAAGCCGTTTTTTGGAATTTTATGACCACCTTTATTATATGAATATGATGAAAACGCTTCGTTCTATAATTTTACTTTACACTCTGGTTTTCTTTGGTTTCAATGTCAGTCCAACTGTTTCTGATTGCTTAAATGCATTCGACCCTTCAGCAGACTATTACCCTATAGAGCAACAGATTCAGCCTTGTAAGAACTATCATTTTTACGATTCATTAAATGCATAACTTTTGTATTAAAAATTATCACTTTTTTTTAATAATAGCAAATGATACTGGCTTTACGGTTTCTTATCAAAAATATTATAAAATTGTTAATAATACACGAACAAATGAGGTTTTTATTCTTTATTGCAGCGCTTCCGTACCAATTGTCTCTAATGTACCCAATGCAAAATATTTCCAAGTACCGGTAAAAAATGTTGCAAGTTTGGATCTACCTACTGTTACGTTTTTGGAGGTACTTTTCTCTGAATTTCTTAAATTTATGAATTTTTTTTACATTCAATGATAAACTAATCTATTGTATTATATATTCTTTATTAAAGTTGATGAATGTTCATTCTTCATTAAAATATGTCGACAATACTTTGAATATTACTTCTCCTTGTCTACAGAAGAATATAGCTGATAATACCCTTCAAAATTTCAACTGGAATGTTACGAATGTTGATATCGTTTTTTTGGACGCTACGCAGACAAATAATAATACTAATAAAACTGTAATCGTAAATTTAGGTGATGATATTACTCCACTTCAGGTAATATCATAATATAAAAAAAATTTTTTTTATGCTCGATTAATATATTTTTTTATTAACTTGATGTTCTGACATTCATTGTGTAGAAATTAGAATGGATCAAATTCTTTTCACTTTTCTTTGATAAGGAAGCTGCCGTTAAACATACAATAGATCAATTACTCTACGTTTACGGATGTGATTCCAAGAATCTTGTTAATATACCTATTGCTGATAGAAAGACAATCGCTTGGGTATCTTTTGATTCAAACGTGTTTGAAGTGAAACATGACACATATCACGTCGCATTAATAAAGGATGCTGGTTGGTATTTCTTTGGTTAATTTTTATATATAGTATGGTTAAAAACTTTTATTATACACTTTATTAATTTTTTTCTACTTTGTTTAGGTGCTTATCCGATTGTTAATTCCAGCTCTATTGTCAAATCAACTGATGATCTTCATTTGATCATTAACAATGCTACCATTGTCATTGATGAATCTCCATCTATTGCTAGTTTTGATACCTGGCAACGCAAATTTGGTTATTATCCAGAACAAAACAGTAGAGATATTCCTGATTTTATCACTCACAGACGTGTATATCGTGTGAATAGATTTGTGAATTATAATGGATATTTTGACTGGTCTGAAAGTGCCGCTGCTCGTCCTGATATTGCTTTAAAAGATCTGATTGCAATTCAGTATCCAACATATGAACCTTCTTATGACACAAGGTGGTTCCATCAATTTAGTGATCCTTCAACTGTCTTAACTTCAAATAATTGTGTCGATCCAAATCAACCTCAGAGCTTTTTAACTTGCAGAGCCAAAAACTTTACTGGCGATTCTTCTCCTATAGGTGATGGTTCTAATAACAAAGACAAATCTGATAGTACTAGAAAATTATCTCCTTTGGCCGAAACATTGATTATTACATTTAGCATTCTTGCCGGTTTGGCTGGATT